ATACAAGGTCAACATACAAAAGTCAGTTGTATTCCTGTACATCAACAAAGAGCCTTCTGAAAAAGAATTTATTTCCCTTATGGAAATTCACAATAGCATTCACAATAGGTACCAAAAAGACAAAATATTTAGGAATCAATCTTACCAGGGACACAAAAGACCTAGACAAAGAAAACTACAAAACACTATTACAAGAAACTACAAGGGATCTATATAAATAGAAGAACTTGCCTTGTTCATGGATAGGAAGACTGAATATTGTGAAAACATCAATATTACCCAAAGCAATCTACACATTCAATGCAATCCCGATAGAGATACCATCAACAATTTTTAAGAATATGGAAAAAACAATTACTAATTTCATCTGAAAAGGAAAAGAGAGCTCAGAGAAGCAAACCATTGCTGAAGAAGAATAACCAAGTAGGAGGTCTCACACTCCTGAATCTCAAAACCTACTATACAGCCACAGTAGTTAAAAGCGTGTGGTATTGCTACAATGATTGATAGAGAGATAGACCGATGGACCAGAATCGAAATCCCAGAATAAAACCTTTCATCTATGGACAGCTTATCTTTGACAAAGGACCAAAACCCATTAAATAGGGGAGAGATAGCCTCTTTAACAAATGGTGCTAGCAAAATTGGATATCCACTTGCAAGAAAATGAAACAAGACCCATACCTCATCCCATACACAAAAACTAACTCAACTGGCATCAAAGAATTAAATGTAAAGCCTACAACTATAAAGTTCATCAAAGATAAAATAGGGGCAAATCTAGGAGACCTAATTTACAGCAGAAATAGTTTATCAAGCATAACCCAAAATGCACAGGCAGTGGAGGAGAACCAGATGACTGGGACCTTTTAAAAATTAAATTCTTTTGTGCATCAAAAGACTTCTCCAAAAAGGCAAAAAGGGAACCTACAGGTTGGGAAAAAATACTTGGCTATGACATATCTGACAAAGGACTTATCTCCAAAATGTATGGAAAACTTCAACACCTCAATGCCCAAAAGAAAAACAATCCAATTTAAAAATGGCCAAGGGACATGAACAGACACTTCACTAAAGATGATACACTGGCTGCCAACAAACACATAAGGAAATTCTCATGATCACTAGCCATTAGAGAGATGCAAATCAAAACAATGAGAGAGACTTTAAAAGAGTTGAAAAGCCAAATAGCTGTATCAGGGAAATACACTTCAGTCAAGAAAGGGAGGAATTCCAGGCCCTGTGGGGAATCTAAATACAGACCAGACCCCAAATGAAATGTGATGCAATGACCCCACCCCAGATAGCCACCCGAAGCTCCAGGAAGGTCCAGCAGAAGTGATGACTTTGTATTAAGAAGATACACTTCAGTTAAGAAATGGAAGATTAAAGGCCATGCCAGGGGTCTAAATATAGACTTGAGTCAGAATAAGATTGAGGCCACGCCCCATGCCAAGACAGAGAAAGCCCGCACAATACCCCACCCCACCCCCTGTAGTCATCTTTGGAAGCCCAGGTGGGCTGACAGAGTTACATCCCCCAGCTCCCACCTCAAACACTGTCAGTTAAGGCCTTGGACTTAAGGTACAGCCTGAGAGAACAGAGGGAGAAGCTCAAATCCAGCTAGGAGTCAAGGGATGGACTGTGAGGATTGAGGACAGCCCCTACTTCAGAACAGAGGGGTCTCTCAGAGACCTGCCCATGCTGTCTGCCCTGGGACATGCCAGGAATGAGATGGTCTATTATAGGCATCCAAGGGAAGTGATGGCCTTAGTCTGGGGTTGAAGACTATGTCAGTAGAGGGTGGAGTATCAGGCCCTCCTAAGTATCAAGATAAGACACTGAATGGAGACTAAGGGGCCTGCAACCGAAGAACAATGGAGACACAAAGAGTCCTGCTCTGCCCCAGTTATTGGCTCTGGGCAGCACTTGTTAGAGTTGCCAGCATGAGGAGTCGATTCACTTCTTCCTCAGGGATGTCCTTGTGGAGAAGGCTTTTGTCTGAGAACTAGATAATAGGTCAACAGAAGAAGTCCTAGGTCTGCTAGCAGTCAAGGTAAGGAGCCTGAGTAGAATCTGAGAGCACCAGCTATCCCAGAAGAGATGGGCCACAGCATCTAGCCCCTGTGTCAACCCTGGGTAATCCTTCATGGAGGGTGGCTGTATGGGATTTCTCCTCACTTTCTCCTATGATTTCTAAGAGAGGTGAGGCCTTGATCTGAGAGGGGTGGTTTCAGGTCATCAGAGGCAAAAAGGGCCTAGTTCCTATCACATAAAAGACATGAATGAGAACAGAGGGGAACATCCAGACTAAAAGCAAGGCAACCACAGAGTGTCTCACACTGCCTGCCCTACTATAATCCATGGAAAGCCTTGAGCTGAGTTGGATGGCTGCCCGAGCAGAAATCTCATTTCCTCCTTCATGGTACTATGGGGAATAGGAGTTCTGGTGACATAGTGGTTAACGCATTCAGGTGCTAAACAAAAGGTTGGTAGTTCAATCTGAACAGCTGCTCCATGGGAGAAAGTTGAGGCAGTAGCTTCCATAAAGATTTACAGCCTTGGAAATATTTGGAGCAATTCTACTCTCTCCTGTCGGGTCACTATGAGTCAAAATTGACTCACTGGCAGTGGCTACTACGGGAAAGGCTGACTAGGAGGACAGGAGACCTGTGAGACCCTAGAGCACTATTCCTTGAGCAAGGTCTGATAGAGATCACCTTTGTCAAAACGGCCAGATTTTAGCTTGCCATCTTAATTGGCACAAATCTTCCCTCTCTCCTTTAGGCTGTGGGCCTGCTTTTTCTGCTCTTCTGCACCATATCTTGTCTTCGGCCACCTGGAGAAGTTAGTCATCATGCCTGGGCAAAAGGAAACCCCCCACTTCTCCACTCAAGAATGCCTTCCTATCTTCCCTGAGTTCCAGGACCTGGATGATATACTGTTCCTTGAGGTTGTGGATGATTTCTCTCCCCCCCCCCTCCTCCTCTTCCTCCTCTTCTCCAATCCCCATCTATGAGGAGGAGCATGCTACTGTAGAGACAGTCAGTACTATTCAGGTTCCTCAGAGTGAGTGTGGCTCTTCCACTGCTATGACAGCCACCTCAGAGATGACATTGGATGAAGACCATAGTAGCCAAGAAGATGGAGCTATCGCAAGTGCCTCACAGTTTCTACCAGATTCTGAATATTGGTGCACAAACCCAATTGATGAGAAGGTGGCTCTGTTGGTGAATTTTCTGCTGTTCAAGTATCAACATAGGGACCTGATCACAAAAGCTGAAATACTGAATATTGTCATCCAAGAGTATGAGGACCACTTCCCTGAGATCCTCCTGAAAGCGTCTAGACACACATAGATGCTATTTGGCCTTGATGTGAAAGAAGTTGACCCTCTCGACCATGGCTACATCCTCGTCATTAAACTGGGCCTCACCTATGATGGGATGCTGAGTGAAACAGAGGGCATGCCCAAGACTGGCCTCCTGATTCATATGTTGGGTGTGATCTTCCTTAATGGCAACCGAGCCACTGAGGAGGAAGTCTGGCAAGCGCTGAATACATTGGGTGTATATGCTGAGCAGCATCACCTGATGTTTGGGGATCCTAGAAAGCTCATCACCGAAGACTTGGTGCAGGAAGAGTACCTGGAGTACCGGCCGCTGCCTAACAGCGATCCTGTGTGTTATGAATTTGTGTGGGGTCCGAGGGCC